ATAAAAGGCAAAAAAAATTCTAATAAAGCAACATACAGGCTTGAAATCGCTACTGAAAATGTTGCTTGATCTTCTGTAATTTTCAGCTGAATTATCCTGACAGAAAACAACAAACAATATGTGACTTAGTGCATAGGAATTTCTCCAATCACCAAACGAACAAAAAGACAGTTACAAAAAGAATCTCATTGCTCAAGGTAACAACACACTGATGTTCTAAACATTGTAGTAACATAGTGGAGTGTGTATGTATGCAATGTGGTCATAGCTTACTGTATAAACTGGACTATAAGCACAAATAGTGTAGCCAGTAAAGTTATAATGTCTAGATGCAAATGTTTTAGTTATACGAGTCAAGAATAAGAAACTCTAGGGTACAGATATATGCGCAGAACATCTAGAGGTCCAAAATTAGGGAAACCTTTATCAAGGGGTCAGAACAGGAAGTTCAGAAATAGCTAAATCAATGGAATCTGATCAGTAACTCAACCCCCAACCTGAAAATACTACAACAACAACAAAGGCATAAGTTTCAACTATTTAGGGTTGGCCCCAACGTGAAAATACTGTAACAGAATTTCAGATCATAAGGGTTTGTATGTATCACAGCTCCAGAGTCTGGTTCATTTTATACGTTTCTAAAATCATATTTTAGGCCAGATCAATGTGAGTATATGCACATGAAATTTTACATATCTATGGAAGGTACACTGCTACTTTTCATTTGAAAGGATGACTAAAACATGTCTCTCAGTTACCAGTTGTTCTGTATCCACTAAATGAAAGCCTATGTAACGAGTTCAGTACATGCATTCGTGCAATGAATAGTCATAAAAATTATAATAATTCACATCTCATTATGTGAGATATTGTTTGACAGTAATATTATTAATTTAATTTTCAGAAGAAATCAGGAAATGCTGGAGTTATACTACGAAATAATAGATCCATTCTTCCCATGGGTTCAAGCCAAAATATGAAGGAAAGAGCTCAACTTAGAGAATACCCATTAATCCAATGCAGATAGACAAGCATTTGGACAAATGTAAATAAAAAAAAAAAAACTAAAGTCAGGACATAATGAGGGTAAAAAACAGACCTTTTTGCTAATCTTTAATGTCAGAATTTTTTTCTGCGTAACAGAGACCCTCAGCATCAAAGGATAAACATCGGTCGTGGGAGCATTGATTGATGAAAAGCATTCATATTTCTTTGTTGTGAAACAAGTGACAAAGCGCCTACATAAATTTGAAAAGCAAGAGAACAGGAATGTTGAAGACTGGACTATGGCAGAACTAGATCGATAACAATTGTGGAAGCCAGAGAATCAAACAAAGGAATACGAGTGAAATAAAATAGGATTTAGATGGATGATCTAATAATAGGCCACAGAATTATCCATCACGTAACTCAGAAAGTACAACCAATACAGAATCATGCAAGTAATGACGATGTAATAAGCTAAGTGAAACAGCATGACCTTGTTATTTGATAATTAATTTCTGTCATGTTTTTCACAATTTTGGTAGATGCTGAAGTATCATATGATGATCTAAACCCCTGACTTCATAATTTTTTAAAGTAGTGTCAAGGTTCCAGGCATTAATTTTCATTTGTTTTTCTTACCATAACACAGCATAAATGGAATGTCTACGATGTTAAATCTGTACTGTTCACAACAAAGTATTTTGAATATTCACCAATAGGGAAATAGCAACACACTCTACAAATCATAGTAATTTGGCACTGAACTGAGTGATTATTGTTTGCCTATTACATGGTAGTATTAATTATGTGTCATGGTAGTTGTGGTAACTTGGTTTTCAATATGTTCCAAGTCTCATTTATCAGATGATTTTTTAGGTCTGGTACTTTGATATTCTAATGTCTCATATGGATACAATACCAATTCATGATATAGAAATACTAAATATACAACACCACAGAAAGGTAAAGTTACTTCAGGGGAAGGCGGAGTTGCCTCCTTAGGCCCCACAGTGGCACATGAGGGTTGACAGTTAGAGATTAATATGGAATATGAAACTGGAGAATGTTTGTGCATTTTGGTGCCCAAGTCATTGCATTCCTGCTGATAAACAAATTGCCATTGTGATAGGGATGGTAGTAGATATTCCTTTCATAGCCATGTTTGATAGATCAGGCTTCACAAATTACCATCAGCTAAAATTTGTTTTGGGAGATTTCACATCCCTAAACTTTCATAGCCATGTTTAATACTCTTTGTTTTCACTAAACTTTCCTCACCGTTTTAATCTGTGCCTGAATTTACACACACTAAAAAATCTCTGCTGAAACTACAGATGATCCTTGGATTTCAAACAATGCATACAATTCGAATGTAAGAAGTATATCATGGACTTCGCTTCAAAATTTTGAAAATAGAAGGCCCAAGATCGCGTAGTTCAGAAATTTCAAAACTCAAACAGAAGCAACAAAGAAAAGCTACCAACAAGAGGCAAGATACTCACCAATCGAGCACGTGTAACCACGAATAAAAGGGAATCAACGCGTAGGTCAGGCTGGAGGCCCCCTCCGCTGCATCATCGTCCTCCTTCCAGTAGTCATCTCGCTCGATATTACACACAAAATCGGAGTTAGAATTGCCGCGGAGGATCTCGTTCCACAACCGAGGAGCGACCGGAGATATCGAGTAGGGAATGCCGCTCGGTCGATCCTCCTTTGCCTGCAATTCCATCACTCCCTTCCACCATCTGTTCAGCAAACCCATTCAAGAAATCAAAGCCAACACACTCGCGACGACAGCAAGAACCAACTCAAGTGCACCCACATTGGCCAGGAAGCGACAGTTCGGGTTTCAAGAACCGGAGAAGGCCGAAGAATTAGATACCTGTAGGGCACGAGATACACTCGGTTGTCGAAGTCGGGGGTGGATGTCGAAGGGTCGGAGGAGGAGGACGCCTTGGCGGGAGAGTGGCCCATCGACGGAGCCAAGAACGGGAAGAAAGAGGAAGGGCAAAGTGGAGGGGTCGAGCAACAACGAAAGAATACGAAACGGCGAAGCTACATATACGTGCAGAGAGAGAGAGGAATCACGAAGAAGAAACAAATGAGTCCGAAGTCGACAATAGTCACGACTGAACCGACTCATGTAGTTTGTTGGCGCGAATGAAGAAGTGCAGCGTTCCGAGTTTACACCTTGATGCCTTAACCCGTAACTTAGGTCGTTACCCTAGCAAGATCGAACAGACGATGTTCTTCTACCTATGCCTTGCGACTGGGACACAGGACTACAGGCTGAGCAGTGTTAGTCCCACTAGTTTCACCAGTCACAAAGCAGGTAGAGTTGGGTAAAGAAACTGCGCGTGCGGGTCTGCGTTGCGTGGAAACGGAGTCGCTGTTAGAAAAGGACAAGCTTGAACTAACCTACCACGGTGTCACAAAGCACGTCATAATTTGTTACAACTAATATTGTTTGGAGAATTCTTTACTTTTAATTATTTTATAATTACACTAACTGAGAATTTGGGCCCATTATTTTAAATATTTTCTAAATAGTCTGACTATAAATGATGTGTTAATGAATCGTATTATTTATCATATTATAATCATGTATGTGATAGAGGTATGAGTTCGAATTTTGTCTAAACATCGTCCTAGTGTGTCTCTATTCATTGAAAGAGTTTTTTTCTCTTTTTTCCTTTTTGAAAAAAAGAAAACTTTATAGGTAACTAACCATTGTGAATGAGGCTATTAGCCATGAGACATCATGGCTAGGTTGCTTAAAAAAAATATATGAAGAACAATCACTTCCGAAATATGGTAATATTTGTTTATTCCATGTTAATAAGATTTAGGGTGTCATTCAATCGACAACATAGGTAATTGAATTGACGTTGACATCAATTCAATCTTCTCATTCAAGGGTTAAAAAATAGATTTTCACAATAAGAAATAACACCTATCATCGAATGAATTAAACATTCTATCAGTACATATAAACAAGGATTGAAATATCGTATCATGCTATAATTTCGACTTTCTTTGATAGGTACTATATATCTAGCGATATATCATTTGATATACTATATATATATATATATATATATATGTATGTATACGATGTCACCTCTCTTCTCCCTAAGCAGGACGATGTTGTTGAGGCGACATCGCAGAAAGACTCGACGACATTGCATATATATATATATATATATATATATATATATATATATATATAAAAAGACGATATCACCTCATTTTTCTATTACATATTTTTTAAAATAAAAGAATTGAGTGGACATATATCGACATATAACTAACACATAGATAATTTTAAAATTTTATATTTTAAAATAAAATAGACAAATGATTTTTTAACATTATCTTTTTCCTATGTTGATTAATTAATTAAGTCATTTCATCAGATTGAGATTTTTCAAATCCTATGATCAATTGTCCTGTCAATCATATTTTATTTAACTAGTATTTTAAGTATGAGCACATACGATTTTATTTTTTAAAACTTATAGATGTTTTCTTAACGTCAAATAGAAAGTTGACATTCCTATCTCTCATAAGTATATTGAGATGTTTGTATGTGTATATCTACACATTTTGTTAGCATAGTTAGTAAACACTTTGATCAGGATAGCTTAGTTGGTAAAAACCTTGACCTTTGTTACGTACCTTTGTCAAAAAAAAAAATCTAAGTAATATAATTCCAAAATAAAAAGAGAACAAAGATGTATTTTTTTCATGATTATTGTATATATTTTAATGCTGAGCTTGAATAAATTTAATGGTATTTTATGTTTCAACTTGTGGTTTAGGATCGACCATAACGACACGTTAATGATCTTTGTTATCTGGGAAAAATAATGATCTTAAATAAATGGGGAAATAAATCTTTATGCTTTTTATTACCATCATGCCCTGTTCTGTCACACTCCATCCACCGTCCAAAATATACGCGATCGCGAACATCCCATCCAAATCCCTGTCCGCGTAAAAGCCACGACCGAGAGGGCCAAACCTCCATCGTTTAACCTTCGAGCCCCTTAATCACCGATCCCTTCGATCGATCGAGGGAGATCAGCGGCAGGATGAGGGTGGCGGCGACGGCGATGGCGTTGGTGGTGGCCCTGCTGGCGGCGACGGTGGACGCTGGCGACCAGAACGGCGTCTTCACCCCTTGCGCCGACGCCAAGATCCAGCGGTGGGACGGGTTCGCCTTCGGGATTGCCTTCTCTAGCTACGAATCCTTCTTCTCCAACGGGGTGAAACTCTCGCCTTGCGATACCCGCCTCTCCCTCTCCTCCAACGGCGCTCAGCTCGCCGTCTTCCGTCCCAAGGTCGATGAGATCTCCCTTCTCACCATCAACACTAGCAACAACCCTTCGGTATCGTCAGCCCTCCTTATTTTCTCCTTTCACCTCTCCGATTTGATGGGTTCTGCTTCAGATTCTATTTGCAGCTTAGTGTTTTGATCTAACTCTGGGTTTGGTTGAACTCTTTGCTTGCGTTGCCTCAGTTCGCTGGGTGTTCCAAGGTTCTTTTAGTGTATAAAAGCGCAACTGCAGTTATAATGAAAATTTGCGGATCTGACTCTAGGGTTTTGAAAGATTGCAAGGACAAGCTTACCCAGGATCTAAAAGCGATACTTCTGTACCCTCATGGTAGACTGAAATCAAACCTTATTGCTCGAAATCCTTCTCACAGGAGGATCATCTTGGACAAATCAATTTATGTTGGTACTGCTTTGGTATTTGGAGGGTTCTCTTTGAGAGTGATTTTATTAACTGTGAGGGGAATTTTGAACTATCTATGCGATTATTTGTTATTCAGAGTTACTTCATCATGAGGAAGATTGTATAATAGGGATTTGTGTTAATTGATTTTTGGGACCCAACTGCTTCTGTTAATATGAAATAAATAATAAGTAGTGGAGATTGCAAGTTTGGGTAGAAAACTAAAAAAATATGATGGTATATTATGGAAATCATGAAACGTAGGAGAAATGGATAAAATTTCTTCTTGAATAGAAAGCTGAGGAACCATAGAGAAGTAAAGAAATCATTAACACTTATTTCCATCTAAAAATGTATTATGAAAGAAAATGATATGTATTGTTGAATATAGATGAAACAAACGAGTCATCTAGAAAGAAATAGACATTTGGAGTTTCGTGTATACTTCTTTGTAGGGTTCTCCATTTGAGGTACCAGACTTGTCTTGGAGATTTGTCGAGTTGATATGTACCGATCTGTACCAGTATACTAACACATGTTATACTTGGGCAAGTCGACGGGGACTCGGGTGATCCGCATCTCGGTCGCCAATCGGACCAGTCCATACTACCCGTACCATACCGACTCGGGCGGAACAACAAACGTTGATTCTTTGAACATTCCACCCCCTTTCTGTTTTGTGTTATTGGTTGGTTTTCACCTACATGGGTCTGAATCATATAAGTACCATCCGGACAAACTGTACAATTTATATGCTATATTTATAATTTGTGGTTTCTGCAATGCTTAGCCTTAGTTCTTTGTTATATACATCAACTTAAGCTTCCCACTGTTGTGGCAAATAGTTTAAGTAATTTGCATTATTGGATAAGTTATTAAGCTCCTCCATGGCTAGAGATGCATCAAATCTCAGTTTATATTACCTATACTAAATAGAATCTGCAAATAAGAACATAAAAAAGTTAAATAAGGACCATTTAAGAGTATTTGAAAGTTCTGGATATATCTGTGTAGTCAATTTCAGTATGTGATCATCATTCAAGGACTCAATTAATACCCTGTACCATCATATTACACAAATTTTACTTCTACCTAACTCCACCCATCCATGTTCTCTATTTTTATTTAACTATGTATTGCTCTCTATTCTAGCCCTATTGTCGAGATATCTTCACTAGCCTGCATGCCAAATGTGTTATGGAATCTATGGATGTATTGCATGTCACTGTCACTCTTTAGATTCATGGTTTGGATGTACTACAAGTCCCTGGATTGGTGAAAACAATGCACTTAAACTTCAACCAATGTTACTATGGGTTCAGATAATTAAGTTCATCGAGGCTCAGATTTTTGAAGCTTGTTGTAGTCAAAACTTTCACTGTGGTGCACCTTAGGCTCAATTTGCTTGAACGTTAATATTAAAGTGGCATGAGCTTTTGGTGTTTCTTGTAATGTATCTTTTGTTAACTATGCTTTTGAACGTTCAACTATCTGTGTACTGGAAAGTAGTTATATACTTTTGAGTAACTAAATACTCGATGGTCATTAGATGTTTCTATTGTTAGTGATATTCCAAGTCTATATTCGGAAAAGATTGATGTAATTATCTGCTTTCCAGATCTATATCATTCTGTGAGTCCTCATTGTTGAAATATAAGATTAGACATTTTGGATTTTGTATTATAAAACATTATAACTTTTTTTTTTTAATTTTATGTTGCTGTGGAAGTCTATGCTTTTCTGTGACTTGAGAACTTGCTTTGTACGGAGTATCCATAGTGCCTCGTAATGCATCATGGTGATCTACCTAGTATGTTAGATTTTGATGGCTTGTACAACCATCTGTCGTCTTGTATTTTTGCAATTAACATTTCATAACTGGCAATCTGTCTAGTCTTTAAAATCATTTTCATAACTTGTCATACTATGTACTCCTTGACTTATGCATCATCTGTAGTACTCCTTGACTTATGCATCAACTATGATATCATTTTATTAAAGATATAGATGGTTAAGTTTGATTACTTATTGAAGAACTTACATTATTTAATATATACTTGTGTTTCTTTTTGTTTTGTTCGACACCCTTTAGACACTTCTCTAGTTTTCAATTTTCAGCAAAAATATAAAAAATGCCAAGTGTCCCTGCACAAGCAAACATTTTCCCCCAGTTCTTCCTATTGGCTGAGTTCATCTATTTCATTTGTTTCCTCTCTATTTGTCTCTATACCTTTTTTCATTTAATTCTCTTTCACTTCCTTGGATTTCTCTATGTCCCTGCACAAGCAAGGATTTTCTCCAGTGGTTCCTATTGGTCGAATGCATCTACCTCATCTGTTTCCCCTCAATTGATCTCTTCCTACCTTTTCACGTCAATCTCTTTCACTTTCTTGTACTTTTTCTATTTCTCAAAAGAAAACAAGGCTCAGAAGGACTCACCCAAAGCAGAATTAGAATACAAGTTGGAAGGGTTCATCAAGATGTTTTGGGAGTGTGAGAGCAGGACCAGAGGGCAAAACAAATCCAAAATCAATTTAATTGTATGTAGGGCTAACCCACCCAAAAGGATTTGATTATATTCCTGCACAAGCAAGCATTCTGCCCCAGTTGTTCCTGTTGTCTGAGTTTATGTACCTTGTTTGTTTCCTCTCTATGTATCTCTACCTTTTTCTTGTCAGTCCCTATCTTTTCCTCAAACTCCTCTCCCTTTGTTCTTTCTGCTTGCTCTTTGCTGGAGCAAGCCTTTCTTTTTCAGGCGAGATTCCCTTGCTCTTTTATATTTCTAGTGATTGCATGTTGGCCAGATTATAGGTCTAGTAGTGTCACTAGGACCATCACCATCTGATGACCAAAGGTTGCAGAGTTTTGCTGGCTGTGAAGTAGCTACACTCCACTTCCAGCCATTGGTTATGAACCAGTGAGTGAAGTACTGGAGCAGGAACCACAAAGGAAGAAGAATGAACAATAGAAACCGGTAGCTGAGTTTATCGGCGAAACCCATCCACTTCAATAGAAAACCTGTGTCCTAATGTAGGTCATATGGAGCACGGACATCGATAAATAGAATATGATATGCCACTGATGCAACAAAAGAAGTGATATATAATATTATAGTTGACAGGGCTCAAAATTTTTATAATGTTGAAATATGTATTCGAATATGATGATAAATAGAAAAAGGTAATTAACTAGCATCCCTAACCTTTTTCATGATGAAAAAGCATTTTTGACAAAATAATATTTTTGAGAATATAAGTAACTTAATGTTTTAAGATTATGTAGAGTGACATGAACCTATAAAATTAAGATTTGATTTCATTCGGTACTATGCTTAATACAAAAATAAATTATCTGTTCGTTGATATATCTGTTTTTATAATAACAAATCAAGAAGAAGCAAAGCATTTCCAAACAATGTCCACGAAAATCTCCCCACCATGTTCGAGAAAACAATCCTTTTAATCTTACTAATTAAAAAGAATTGCATAAATTTTAAACAAGCATTCAATAAATCTCATACTATGGTCATGTTCAGCATGCATCTGATATGGTGACGACTAAGTTTTTTAAAGTGTCCTTGTTTTGTAAGGCATGTATGGTTTATGAAAATTATTGTTTTTACCCCAAAAAATTGTTTAAGTCTGTGTTACCTTTTTAATTTTTACATTCCTAAGTAATAGAGTCTCTTTTACATTTCCAATCAATTGAGGCTGCTGCCACTCGTCTCAGTTTTTTTAAGTGATATCCCATATTATTTGGTATACAGCCATTAGCGAAGAACTTTACACCCTTTTCAGGTCACTAGCGGAGGATACATGGTCGCATTCGCTGGCAAGAAGTATGCAGCACGTTCCCTTCCTGCTTTCATTGGTAATAGCACATATGTCGTGACCAGCTTCACCCTGGTATGTTTGTGCAACTTAAATATTAGAGTTACAGAACATGTTAAGCTGAAAAAAAAAGATCTGTGATGTCCATCTCTATGGAATATGTCTATACAGGTACTCGAATTCCACAAAGGCACACTACAGAACTTGTACTGGAAGAGAGATGGTTGTGCTTCATGTAAAGGGAAGTCATCTTTTGTTTGCCTCAACAATCAAGACTGTGCCATCAAGACATCAAGTTGCAAAACCCAGGGTGGTGCTGTTGATTGCAGCATAGGCATTCAATTGGCCTTTTCAGGTACTGATAAGCATGATGCTGTCCTCAATTCATGGTACGAGGTGTCCAATCTCCGGCAGTACTCCCTTTTTGGGTTGTACTCAAACCTCAAAGATTCTCTCACCGGCGAGTACAACAAATTCTTCTAACTCCTTGTGGATATCCAGCCCCCGGACATGCACTCTTCTGTATTGTATGTTATCACCAGTCAGTTTAAATCCTACGCTGGTTTTTGTTGTAAGACTCGTTTGGTCTTTGGATCGTGGAAATGATGTTTATTTTGTTGTTGATTTGTAAAAGTTCATTTCTGGGTTTTCAAGTTTGTTTATGATTCTCATGTTCTTAGTTGCATACATTCCTATTAGTACAAGTCAATTATTATTAGAAAAGGTCGAAATAGTTATTTTCAGTAGTTATATCATAATCTGAGAAACGAATATTAAATTTTAAATTATTTGTTGAGTTAAGGCTACAACCACTCACTGCTCCTTTTATGTTATATTGTTTTACCTGACCAGGTTACATCTCGACCGTCGATTACATTTTGAACAATTTCGAACCATAAATATCGGAGCAAATTAAAGAAATAGAGAAATGCAGAGGCCGCGGAGCGCACAAAACGTATCGCCCATGCGGTCGTGGGTTGATTTCGAGTGGATAAGCGGGCAACCCACGAGGAGGAAATATCCGTCGGGCCAACAACAGCCCCTCAGCCACGAACCCGATCTCGACGCGTGCGCAGTGTGGCGGAAAATTCCCCTTCACTCGACCAATCCACGCCCGCGCGGCTCTTCGCTCGCCTCTTCCCCTCTTCTTTCCCCATCGCCAGATCACTCGGCTGACCACCGGGGCTGCGTCGGATGTCGTTCCTGTGCTCATCCTAATCATGAGAATTTGGAGCCGCGGGGCTCGACGATCTCTTGCTGTTCCTTCGTTTGGTTCTCCTCGGGGGATATCAAGATTGGATAGTTTCCTCCCTGCCTTCTCGTTCAGAATCCGGAACAGTCGGAAGCAATGGCCGATTGCCTCTGCCTCAAGGTTAATCATTATGATGTCAAGTCCTCTTTACCTTTTCTTTTCTTTATTGACCTTACGATTTCAATTTGTCTTCAGATAGTTGCCTCCGATTCTTCCATTTGACTTGTTGGATACATGAATTGTATTCGGTCCCTAATTACATAATTAGTATGTCAGTTTCTTGTGGTGTAGAGATGAAAAATACCAGCTGCTTTTATTAAGTGGCCCATAACCTATGAATTTAAGCTTTTGAAATGTAATGGCGTGGGTTTTCTTCTTTAATATGGTTAAGCCAAGTTATGTTGGTTTCTGGTTGAGTAGTTGATGTTGCCAGATGACTAAAGTGGGTTAACTAGAGACGTTCTTTATAGAAGTGTCTATATAATGAACTTTTGACATTATAATGTTAATTAATTGAACATAATACATGCCTTGTGGAGGGAGAACAATTATGTGACGTGGCTTGGAGACTCTTAACATAAAGATGGTTGTTAGGGTTTCTAAGAGTAGTTACTCCCACATTGCAAAGAAGACAAAAAGTTTAGATAAGTATATTGGTGTTGGCTCGTAATCTAGTGGCATAGACTTCCGACGATGTCCAGTTTTTGTATTAGTTCCCTTCTTGAACAATAATTACTGCACCCTCATGTGGAATGATCTCCATAGCAACCGGGTTCATATGTTAAAAATGCTTTATCAATAATTAGTATCATAGTTTTTTGCTCAGCTCGAACCAATATGAGATTAATGGTATTGGGAACATAAGGATCTGTGATATAGTCATGTCAATTTTATGTGCATGACTATGGATTATTCTTAAAAAACAAAAAAACCTGTAGAGGACAACATTGTAGATTACTAATAGTTAAAAAATTCTAGTTGTGACTAATTAAAGCAAAATGGTTTGCTTGGTTCAGATTTCGAAAATTTAAGTTTCTCTAGTATGTACCTTGGATGTTACTCTAGTTTATAAAGTCATTCCTTATTCTAAGAGAGCTAGTGGGAGGGAGTCCCAGGGACAACCCTTTCAGCCTCATTGTCAGTTTCCTTGAATGAGGCATGTGAGTGGTATCCGCCAGTGGAAGGAAACTACTTTAAAAGCAGTTTTCAAGAAGGATCAGGATAGTCAATAACAAAGATTCCCCCCGCTCTAAATGAGCCAAACTGTCCAGATGAGGTTACTTATTCCTTTGGTCCAGCCGAGCCAATTGAAGTTGATCTGCATCTCTTACCATTCGGCAAGTCGGCAGCTGCCAATAAGCTTTCCGTGGTACCTGATTTATTTCCTGTTATGCTAGGACCAAGGGCCTTTCTCGTGTTCTGAGAAGAAGAAGAAAGGTCAAAGAATCATTCTGTTTCTTTCATTTCTCTTTATGAATGTGTGGGACTGGCCTTCTTTCCTTCTTGATCAGATCTTCCATTAAGAGCACCTGAAGATCTCGTACACTGTGGTGACATGTGAGTGAGAAAAAGAGTTGCAAGTGAAAGCAAGGTATTGTACCGATGGACTTAATTAAGTACTATCATGCCATGGGTATAGGCTTACACATTCCATACCATGCTCCAATCTTGCATCAGCCTAGTGGGTATGAGTTCCTAAAAGAAGGCCAAACTCTGGCCAAGTTGAGTATATTAGCTTAATTGGTAGTAGAGAAGATACTAGTCCTGAGTAAGAAAGCCTTTAACAAAGACGATCCGTAAGCAGGCAGGGTGCAGGCCAATAAGCTAGAGAGTCACTAGTGAGCACCTTGTGACCACTGACCACTTTATATCGCTTTTACATGATTATCACATAATATTATTTCAGCAAAATCCCTTTTAGGCAAAGATAGGCAATGAAGACTCATGTTTTTCATCAAGACTATTAAATGGAAGAAAAAGATAAAGAGATAACCTGAACTACATGCATATAGATTACCTGAAAATTCTGGGATGATTACTCCACCACAGTGTTGAACTTGTCAAAAATTTTAAATCGTAGAAGTTCCTAATATCTTTGAGCAGCATCCATTCTACCATGATACTACACCCTGGAATATTCTTCTTTTTCTGACCTTCAAGATTTCTCAGTGTATGAATGCAAATAACTCATCCATGTAAGAGGCTTTGTAGGCAGTAATTCTTTTACTAAAAATCCCACCTATGTTTAAGACCTGTTGGTTTTGAAGCTAACCTCACTGTAGTAAGTTCTGAAGATGATACAGATAATTGTTTCCTTCCAGATCTAACATTTGGAATGTAGTGTAAGGAAGATCCTTTTCTCACTGTATTCATCATAAATTCCCAGCAAACGGGGTTGTGCTAGAGGATTTAGGTCATTATTCCTAGTGTATCTTATCAGGAAGTATTTTTCTGTCTTCAATTAGTGGTGGTAAATCTTAAGTTTGCTTTTAAACTTATAAGTATGCACCAAAATTTATGCTCAAGTACACTACCTTCATGCCACTTGCATCTAATTTCTGCAGGGAAGTTTTCTTGGATGTCTGTCAAATTCTGTAAAAGCTTGCTCCAGTCACAACATACATCTGAACATATTCTATTCCTGTAACCAACGATTGCCTGTTCAGTCTTCTGCACTTCTCCGCAAAAGTTGCCATCTTGAGTTTGCACAAAGGAATACGACATGGGGCTACTCCTTGTCATCAACACAAAAGTGTATTAGCCTGAGAGGCTCTTATAATTATAACGGAAGAAAAACATGTAGGCGGAGATTTCAGATAAAAGCTCAACTTGATGTTGCTAGTGCTATTGAAGTTATCAATGATTTAGGTTTCGATACTCTCACATTCTTGGCTGTCACTGTTCTGGTTGTGCCTGCATTCAGGATGATAAAAGCTAGTCCGGTGAGTGTTCTTGGATCACTTATCTGTTTAAACATATATATTTTGGTTCTCTATCGTATATATATTATTTTATTTCTTATGATTCTTCATATTTTGAAAAGAAATTGATGGTTACCTCATCAGGTCACTTTATCTGCTAGTTTTCAGGAGCATTTATATGCCATTAGCACCTGGATTTGTTTCCATTTGTATAAAACACAATTTTAAATTTATATTTAATATATTAACAAAATGAATAAGATAAATTTAATATATTCAGCCTGAAATATTTTTTTTTTCACCATCCGAACACTTGCAACAGCTGCCAAACAGTTAATTTTAGCTGTCTTATTCTTTAAAGAAAAAAACATTTTCAAACCAGATTAGGTGATTTGTATGGCTTCCTTTGTACATTGACTCAGATTTCCTTTAAATCTAACAGCCAAATTGATGTACTCTAAATGTCTTAATGTATCTTAATTAATTTTGCATGTGCACCTGGATCTAGAGCTCCACAGTAATTCCATATTGTTTTTTCTTATTAACTGATGCATCTAGTTTCTTTCTCCATAACTGATGCTTTTACAGACACAAATATTTACCTAGGTTGGTTTGTTTTTTCTTTTGCTGTATCTTTTGATATATATTAGCGATTTCAGAAGGTGCTCGGGCGCTCGCCTAGGCGCTCAGGCGGGGCGAGGCCAGAGCGCCTTGCTTCATGTCCAAGCGCCTCACTTCAAAGAGGCGCAGCCTAGGCGCTTGCCCGAGCTGAGGCGCCGGGCGCTTCGGGCAAGCGCCTGGGTTAAACCAGGTGATCGAACTAGTGTTTTACGTTTGGTTCGGTCTCCGGTGCTTTAGTTGTTTCGATTGAACCAACTAAAGCACCGATATCAGCCTCCCAACATCCCTCTCGCAACTTCCCCAACCCTAACCCTGCTCGCGATTCTACCGCTAACATTTTTTCTCTACTGCCACTGCCTCTTTCCGCAATCGTTGCCTGTCTTCGTTGTCGTTGCTCTCCGCTTCCGCTGCCATTGTTGCTGCTTGTCGTTGCTGTCGCTGCTGCCGTTGTCACTATCGCCTCTCCCGCTCCCGCTCCTACTACCATTGCTGCTTCTCTCAGTCAGCAGCCTCAGTCAGGCTACTACCGCTATCGCTCCGCTACCACTACCGCTGCTGTCGCTGCTTGCCACTATCGTCGCTCCCGCTCCCGCTGTCATTGTTGCCACTGTTACTCTTACTCCCTCTACTCACATCGACTCGATAGTATACTGTTAACAGTATATTAACAGAATACTAGTAACAATATTTTTTTTATTTATTAGATTAATAATATATTATTTTGATTTTAATACTGCTAATTTTTATTTATTTGAAATTATTGTTATTGTTTTGAATTTTGAGATTTTTTGTTAATGTGATATTCTGATTCTGTAAGATTTTTTAATTTAATATCATATTTTTATTTAAATAATTATATTTATTAATTAATTTATATATTTTTATATTTTAGCGCCTCGTTTCGCTCGGGCGAGCGCCTAGCGCCTCGGGCGTTTTTTCACCTTAGCGCCTTTTGGCGTCTAGCACT